CATATCCAAAACCACGTGGGGAGCGGTGCTGAATCTGCCACAGCCCCGAGCCCATCTCTGTATCAGATGCCCTGCCGCCTCACCTGCCCGCTTCTAGGGCTTCCCGGGATGCTCCACTCACACGCTGGGCCCCTGCCTGGTGCTCCTCATGCCCTCATTCCAGCAGGGACCACACTGGTGAAAGGATATTACCATGTACTCCCCCGCCCAAAGTACACCACCGACAGACGGGGAACGTAGCTACCTAGTTCAAGCCACAGCCCCAGTGCCTATCTGGGCGCCTGGAGGGAATCCATCTGGCCAGGCTGGGAGAAGGCAGCAGGCCCAGCTAGCCTGGGCACACACGCAAGCTGCTGAAACGCCCAGTTGTTTAGCCTCCCTGAGCCTCAGTTTTAACACCTGTATGATGGGGACAGTTGCATTCCTGACCCGGGGAACGTCGAGGGATCTGAGAACGCAGATGCATTTAGTATGTGCTCCTAAACATCCTTTTCCTCAGGTTTTCCTGAGCTTGGAGAGGAGCGGGGCTGTCCTGGGTTTCGGGCTTGAAGAAGGTCGACGACGTCCATGGTGTCCCGCAGCCATACCGCGTGGGTGGCTGGCTCAGGGCACGGGGGTGCCTGCCTCCTGGGCCTTCCAAACCGTTGGAGAGTTTTTCCCTCGAAAGTTGGAAGCCGAAGAGGCTCTCCTCCCTTTCTAGGCTTGCCAGGCCTCCTGGCAGCAGAGCTTGTGGTCAGCAGGGCCTGGAGACCTGATCCTGCCAGAAGACCAGATGTACTAGTAGCTGGGGGACTCTCCGGGAGACTGGTCACACACTCTGCGCCGGGGTGACCTATATGCGACTCCCGTGGGTCAATCCTGGTTGATAGGGTCCTGGGTCAATCCCGGTTAGAGTAGGCCTGGCCAGGTTTATGCCCACTGTCTGGTCGTAACTACCGACAGTGCCCCCCCCCCCAACCCGCCCCTGACTCTGAAGTGTCCCGCCTGTCTGTGACCGTCAGACCTGCATACCCTATGGTCCCAGAATTCCTTTCCTAGGAAGCTGCTTCGCAGAAATCTGCACATCACGTCACCGAAACCTATTCTGGAACACTCACAGCAGCACGCTTCATAATAGCCCCAAACCGGAGCCTAACCAAATGCCCTTCAACAGAACAGATGCATGCGCTGTGGCTCGTTCACACCACATAACCGTGCCGCAAGGATGAACATTCGGCAGCCATGTGCCACACGGATAAAACTCAGACGTGATGCTGAGCAACGGAAACGAACCCAGGAATACATAAGCCGTGACTCCACCCATACGTGGCACAGAAATGGTGAACCTAGGGGATGCTAGTGGGGACAGTGGTTACACGAGGGGAGCTGGAGATGGCTTTTTGATCCGGGTGCTGGCGACACAAGTGTTCTTCCTCTACGAAAACACATTTGAACTGGTAACAGGATTGCCCATTTTCTGGGCAATTTCTGGGTAGTTTCATCCGTAAAACGTTCCCTTTAAAAGGCATCCCGGTTTGGGCCATAGGTTACACAATGCCTGCTGCTCTTCTGGCCACTTCCTCCCATCTACCTTTCACGTTGGGCTGGACATGGAACATGACCAGACTTCATCCCTGTGACTTTCAGAAAACCCCGACTAATCCAAACACTCCATGGAGCCATTCACAATGGTCTTTCCCTCGACTCTTCTACGAGCTGTAGTTGACTCCGAAGCAAGAGATAAGCTGACAAACATGCTGACTGGAGAGATGCAGAGAGACGTGGAGCCCCAGGGGATGCTAAGGGGGCACCCCAGCCTACTACAGCCTCTGCATCGCCAAGCTTGTACTGGGAGACTGCCGGGCTCCCGCTGCGCCACTTAGCAAGGCAGCAGGAAGCAATGGCATCCATCAGGAAGAATCGCAGCAGCTCAGGAGAAAAGGAGCTTGCCCTTCAGCCGTCCTGAAACGTAAAGTTAACCCAAACCCCCCATTCCCTGGACATTCCCGTTGGGGTCCTGAAGTTCACTGGGTTGTCCTTGTGGAAACTGTATAACCCAACTCTGACAATAAGAGCATGCTTCCGGTCAGCTAGACCAGTTCCGCCATGACCGATTCCCCTGGGACTCCCCAGGCTTTGCCCAAGCAGGTTGATTCCCCAGGCCCAGAATAGATCTTTCCTCCTGCATGCTCCCCATGGCCCCTCACTTATCCAGATCCCATCAAGGCCAGCTCAAGGCCTGCTCCAGCGACTTCCCTGACTACCCCGAACTCCCATCCAGTCTCCCTCTGTAGCACCTATGGAGTCTCGGAGACTCCGTTTAAGGGCCTGACCCCCTAGTCTGCAATTTCAAGAGCACAGGGAACCTTACTTTGTTATACGCCAAGGCTTTGGACCAGTTCTTCCTAAACAGTAGGCCTTCAATAAATGCCAAATGAATGAACACACTCTGCCTGGTGGCATCTCCTGGATTGTTCCTCTGCTTTCTCTCAAGGGTTCTTGGTTCCAATTCCTCTAAATATGAAATTCACCAGGGCAAGGACGCTATCTTAACTAACTACTTACTGCAGGAGGAAAGAAAGGAAAGGAAGGGGATTCCGGGCATCTGTAATGCAGAAAGCAGGGAGGTGCGGGTCAGTGGGTAGTTCCGTGGAGTTCAAGGGTGTGGGTAATGCTTAAGAGTCACAAGCTACTTTATCTGTGCACACTTTACTTACACCTGCCTCCTTCCAGAGAGGGCTTGTGAGGCTTACAGAAACACACGTAATACAAGGTAAAAACAAACAAACAAACAAACAAACAAACCCCAAGTCGGTGAGAAAATCAGGACGAGGGGGAAAAGAAGAGTAGGAAAAATAAGATCAAGTCGTTTTGTTAGAAGTGGGCCAAAAAGTTGGCCAAGTTTTCCCACAGCCTCTCGAGGCAGAAGTCCTGTCTCCCTTCCCGGCCTCCCTCCGGGACCGCCACAGGCCAACAAGTCGCTAGCAGAAGGCAGAGGAGCCCCACGCTGGCTGCGTCCAGGGAAGGGGCCTACCCCAGGACCCTTCCCACGCCTCCCGGCCATCGGCCCCAGGCCTAGCGGCGCGGGCGGCCGTGGGGAGGGCCGAGTCTAGGGGCGCCGCGGTTCTGCGAGGGCTACCCCCGGGCCAGGCTTGCTGGCGGGGAACTGTGACCCGAGGGGAGTAGGGGAAGAACCGAAGGGCCATTCTTCCACTCAACGCTGCAAAGGTTCTCGAGCTCACTCGATGCCTCCAGCCAACTCATCTCGCGGCCTACTAAGCGCGCGATCGGCACGCAGGGTACAAAGATGGAGGGAGCAGCGCGCCTTCCACCCCGCTCCACCCCCACCCACCGGCTCTAGACAAAGGGGCAGGTCGCCCCTCCCCCAGCCTCTCCCTGGCTTTCCCCCTCCACCCTCCTCTCCCCTCCGGCCGCCCTTCGGTGACTTCCTCTCCCCTCCAGGGGCAGCCTGGGCACTTCGCAGGAACTGCCTTTCACCTGGGCGCGGGGCGGGGAGCCAGCGCGCGGAGGGAGGCCTCCCGGCCCACCCCCAGCCCCGGCCGGTCCCAGGCCCGCGCCCTCCTCTTTGAGCCCGCTCTAAGGGCCCCCAGCGCCTTCCCGCCCGGCCGTCCCCGCCCCCACCCGGCCGAGCACGTGCTGCCCCCGGCCCGGAGCGCCAGCCCGCCGCCCCGGGTGGGGGCTGGGCCCACTCCCGGCTCTACTCCCCACCCCCACCGGAAACATTCCTGAAACATTCCTGAAAGTAGGAGGCCCGGCCCCTCCGGTTCCCCACCCCGCCTCCACTCCGGACTCAGGGTTTTCCTGGCGTCCCCCCTCCATCGGCGGCTCGCCCCCTGAAGAGGGGGCTGGGCCGGGGCCTTGGCCGACCCGGGAGGAAGAAGGGGAGCAAAGAAAAACATGAGTCACAGCCGTGTGTCACTGGGCCGCATTGCATTTCCCTGCATCACGGGAGGTGTGGAAGGCCGCCTCGGGGACCAGGGGCGGGGAGGTGTGCCCGAGAAGGCCCCGGGCCCGGCCTGCAGGGCGCGCCGCTGACAGCTCCCTTTCTTCTCCCACCGCCCTCCCCGCCATCTTTTCACTTTGGCTTCCTTCTCAAGCGTGCAACAAGTCTTTGTTGCGCCGGGCGGGCCAGGCGTGGCGGGTAAGGCTTGCGTAGACCCAGTCCCTGCCCTCAAAGTGCTTCCAGGCGACCGCGGGCTCACGCTTTCTTATTTTCCTTTAAAGTCACAGCGGGGAGGAGCCAGGGCGCAAAGTGGAAACGCACGGCTCCAAAACCTCGTCCAGGTCACCTAAAGGAACGAAGCCTCCCTCAGGTTTACCTGCAAACGAGCCAATCGTGTGTTTCCTTTGGAGGATGCACCTTGACCACGGCTCACTCGCGGCCATTAATAAACGAAAAGTCGGGATTTCACAAGTTTCACGTTTGAATTTCCCAAGACTTGAATTTCGCCCGGCAGCCACACGCAGGTTGGCACCGAAATGCACATGCTGACACCTGTCCGCCCAGGGGAAATCTATGAGCCGTGTGTCTGGGCGCAGGGGGCGGCGGGTAGGCCGCGGAATCCTCTCACCGGCGCGTTTCTCTCCACCCCCTCCCGCCCGCGCGGACCCCGCAGGCACGAAACGCCCGCCCACGACCAACGCGCCCCGCGGGCGCCAGGCCCACACGCCCGGAAGGCCCCTAGAGGTGACTCTCCCGGGGACCCCCGTTTCTGGCTGTAAGGGAGCCCTCCCTCAGCGAAAATCTTCTTGGTGATCCCTCTGTGCACCTTCCCGTGTCTCCCGGCCCAGGACAGTGAGGAGTGGGCCGTCGCCTCGGATTCCCAACCCAGGCCTCCCGCGCGCCCGCCCCCAGGCACCCGGCACCGCACGCCCCTCCCCGTAGTCAGCACCCACCCGCGCGGCGGCGGCGGCTGGCGGGCGGCCGCCCTTTTAAATCCCCGGGCTCATTTGCATGGCCCCGCCCCCCACAGTGACACGGCTGGCGCGGGCGGGCCCGTCCCCCCTGCCCCTGGGTCGCTCTTTTTAAGCTCCCCTGAGCCGGGGCTGCGCTCCTCTAATTGGGACTCCGAGCCCGGGCTATTTCTGGCGCTGGCGCGGCTCCAAGAAGGCGTGAGTTCGCGGCCCCTCCGGTGGCTTCTTTTTTTTATATCTATCATTTAATTAAATTATTTATTTATTAAGGCCGCGCACGGGCCGTGCCTAGCTTCCTGCCCCTCGCCATCCTTCGGGGGAGGGTGAATATTTTTGTCCCCCCGCCTGGATGTGACAGATAAATACCCCGTGGGGGCCTGGGCGGCGAGCACGCGGCGGCGGCGGTCTCTGAGCGCCTCTGCTCTCTCTCCCGGTTTCAGATCCGCATTTGCTACCAGCGGCGGCGGCGGCGGAGCCAGGCCGGTCCTCAGCGCCCAGCACCGTCGCTCCCGGCAGCCCGGAGCGCGCACCGCAGGCCGGCGGCCGAGCTCGCGGTGAGTCGTCCCCGGGGCCCGCGGCGGCGGCGGCGGAGGGGGGCGCCCGCGCCCCCGCCTGCACGCCGCCCCTCCTGCAAGCCGCCCAGGGCTGCAGCGCGCGCCTCCGGCTTTATTCCCAGGCCGGGGCTGCGCGAGCCGCCGGCGGGGGAGGGCCGCGCGGCGCGGGGGCGGGCGGCGGGGCCCGGCGGCTCGGGGAGGGCGCCCGCACCCCTTCCCCCGCGCCGCGGGCGCCCTGCGGGGGGCGGGGACCCGGGAAAGGCGCGCGGTGGGGGAGGGGGCGCGCGGCTGCGGCGAGCGCGAGTTGTGCACCCGGCGGAGCCCGGTGCACCTCGCGCGGCCGCCGCTCCCGCCGGAGCCAGAGCCTGAGCCGGGGCCCGGGGTGTGGGGGGCGGGGAGAGGAACAGGCTGCGGCGCAGCGGGCGGGCGGGGGGCCGGGTGCCCCCCGCAGCCTGGGGAAGTTCTGGAAGTGAGGGGGATGGGCAGGAACCCCGCAATTCGGCCCCGTTCGGGCTCGGCCTTTCTCCTGGTGCCCCCTCCCCCCCCACGCAGATGAGGCCGAGTCGCCGGCCTGGGTTTGGGGCTTCACCTGGACCCCACCTCTGGCCCGGCCCGCGCCTCTTCAGCCCCCAGGGCCGGGCCTGCCCTCCGCCCCCACAAACAGGTTTCTCTGCTTTGCAGGGCTCTGTTGGAACTAGTCCCTTTGACTCCCCGTTTCAATTTTTTTTTTTTTTCTGGGGCTTTATTTTGCGGGGAGGGCGCGGAGGGAGGTGGCTTTCTTCCTCTACCCCGCGCCCGCGCGCGCCAGGTTTCCTGCCCCAAGGCGGGCTTGGGTGCCCCCTCTGGCAGGAAGTGGGGCCGGGTGCACCCGCGTGGCGGTGCATGCGGTCGGGGTGCACCAGTTTCCCGCGCCTGCAAGAGCAGCCTGTGCCCCTCCCCCCGCGCGCTCTGGCCCCTAGTCCCTCCGGCCGACCTGCAACGGCCCGGCGCAGACACTTGCAGAGTCACCCTGGAGCCCGGGCCGGAGCAGGGGGCGACAGGGACTTAATCGGTCTCCGGGCGGGTAAGGAAAGTGGCGGGCTAGAGGGGTCGCCAGGAACCTACTCCGTCCTGCTCGCCTACTTGCTGTGTGACCTTGGGCAACTCATCAGGCCTCTCTGGGCTACTTTTTTCCCGGAAAACAAGGGAGCGCCGTGAGGATTTCCTAAGGGGCGTTCTTGTAGATTCCCTGAGCATTTGTGGAATACACACTGCGTGCTCTGTGTGTAGGGGGGACAAGCTTGAGGCCCTGAAGGGCTTATTACAGACTGAAGGATTGAGGTCGGGCCCTAAACATGGCTTCGCGTAGCCAGGCCTCTGATTTTCAGAAACAGGTGGAAGAGACAAGCATTTGTTGGTCTCACCAGAGAGGGCCTCAGGCCTTCATTCAGTTCCTGGAGGCCTGGATAGGGGGGGTTAGAGAGTGGATTAAAGGGTCCCCAGTAGCGAGAAGTGGGGGGAAAGCACCAGATGATGCAAGAACTTCCCCAGAGACCCACCAGGATTCCCAGGCCTGCTTGGGCCCGGGCTTCCTGGGATTAGGGGCTGGCTTGGCCCAACTGGAACCCCCTCTGTGAGGGGGCCTTCAGCAGACCTCATGTGAGGTCAGCACTCATTTAGGCTGATTAATTTTGATGTTTAGTTTGAAGGGAAACCTGTGGTGTAATATAAGATTCTAATCACTGCCTGTAATTACAGAGCAGGCCAAGCCACTAATGACGGAGCAGGATAAATCACCAACCACCTTGTTTAAAAGGGTCTTCAAGTCTGAAATATTATAAAATAGAATAATTACCAGACGAAGTCTCGCCGTCTGGAGAATCTTGATGTTTGGGGATGGGGGCCTCCGGCTCTCAAAAGTCCCAAGTTTGCAGGAAAAAAAACTTTTTTTCCCTCTCATCGAGTTAAAATTGGAAATTGTCTGAAAAGGAGGAAGAAAAGTCATTTTCAAATGTTCTAGTTTTTGCTTGGAGCAAGGTTTGATCTTGCATCATCAGTCTCGAGAGGCGGTTGGGGTAGATGTCTTACCGTTACCCCCATGTTACAGAGGGAAGGTCTTTTAGAAATGAGGCAGCTTGGGCCCACCCTTTGTCAAGTGCCACCAAAGACTGGTTACCAGGGAGGTGTAGAGCCATAGGTCTCTCAGGTTGCGCATCTCCATAGCTGGGAAGACAGATGGGGTGGGGCACCCTCACTGCCTTAAGCTTCTGGAAGAGGCTCCCAAATAAAGGGGGCAGATGTTCCTAGCAGTGGAGGTTTTAGGTAAACTCAAAATTGGCGGGGCTGAAGAATCCCAAAATGGCCTATAAGAAGAGGGAAGATGCTAGAAAAGAACGAAGGAGCTTTGGAGGAGTAGCCCTGCCCAGGCTGGGGTGGAGGGCGGTGCGTCGGGGAGGGCACCTAGCATCTGTTGGAAGGATCCATCTCAGTGGAGAATTCCTGCCCCTCCTGAAAGCAGGCATCAAAGGAGAGGATCTCATTTGACTCCAGGTGGACGGGGTAGAAGAGGAGCTCCACGTTTCAGCTTTGGGTTTCTTTTCCTCTCCCATGCAGCTTCCTCCTTTCCAAATTGTACCTGACCTTGAGTCCCCAAGGCTTTACCCAGGGAGAGAGCAGAGAGAACTAACTGGCGGGACGGGCACCATCCCTGGCCTGGCGATTGGTATAGGGTCAAGGTTGGCCCTGGTAGTGCCTGGTCCTGAGGCTTGGGCTGAGCAGTACTCTGCGCCAGGCGGGCTGGGGACTGATGCCCATGGCTGCCAGATGGATGCCCGAGGCTTATTCTCTCTGCTTACCTTTCCTCCCTTGTTGTCTGAGCCACTCAGGCTTAGTTTCCTCTTAAGAAATAGGGCAGCTGGCTAGAGGGGGGACCCCGGGCCGTGTGAGGCTTCTTGCTCTCGCCCCCCACCTCATCCACACCTTTGCCCTGGTGACCTCACCCACATCTTGGGCCTGGGCCCTGTGGGGGTGGCAGAACAACAAAGCGCCCTTCTGAGCAAGAGATAAGGAGCTGATTAGAGCCAACGGCTCGACCCCACCCCTGCGCCGGGGCTGGGCAGACCCTCCACCCCCACCAGCCGAGCAGGGTGGGGATCCTGGGTCCCTGGGAGCAGGCACATCAGCACAGGCCACCTTGAGGGTGGGAGTGGTAAGGGGGGGGTCGGATAGGAGGCGGCCGAAGCAAGGTGTTGTGTTTGAAATGACTTTCCCTACTCCATAGCATCCCAGCCATCGCTCCTCCACCTGCTCCGGAGAGAAGGGAAGATGAGCGAGTCGAGCTCGAAGTCCAGCCAGCCCTTGGCCTCCAAGCAGGAAAAGGACGGCACTGAGAAGCGGGGTCGGGGCAGGCCGCGCAAGCAGCCTCCGGTGAGTCCCGGGACGGCGCTGGTAGGGAGTCAGGTGGGTGTCCGAACCTTTGCCTCGGTTTACCCCCTCTGGGCTAGGGAGGTGCCAGGTGTCTCGGCAAGTGACAACTGGACCGGAGGGGTGCAGGATCCTCTCTTGGGGTGCGTCTCGCACACAAGCACCCAGCGCACGCCCACCGTGGTCCGTTCCTGAGGCCCCAGGAGAGAAGTGGGGGCTGAGGAATCTTGCTGGACGATCCGGCCAGAAGCGACTGTGGTCAGACTCTGGTGGACTACCCACACTTGACTTCCAGTCTGTCATGGACCCGCGCATTTATAAAACACGGAAACGATGAGTTACGTGTGTGTAGAAGTTCCCCATTTCCAGTCCCGAGATTCCTTGCACGTACTAGTCTGTCAGTTAACCGTGAAAGTTTATAAACACCTCCACTGTCGATTTCTGTATGTCCTTGGTGCAGGCCTGTACCAGAAACCTCCTGGGCCACCACCTATCCATGGGCCTCCCTTCGAGTGGCCCTGGGCCAGGCTCGGGCTCTGTAAAAGGGAAACTGAAGCCTGAGAACTTAAAGCTATAGGGGAGGTGGTGAGAGAGTGACCCTCGACCCCAGTGCTGTCCCTTGCTGAGGTCTCCTGGGGTTAGAGAGCCAGCCTGGCCTTGTGGGGGGCACCGTAGGGAGCACGGCCGGTCAGGCTGTGGGGGACCCCTGTCCTGCGAGGGGGGAAGATTTTGGATTCTCTCAGAGGTGTAGTAGCTGGTGAGGCCAGGGAAGAGGAAAGGGATTAGGGGCAACCCCTACCCTGTGCACAGTGGGTCCCGGGTTTCCGCACCTGTAGGTTGGAGAGCGCCATCTATAGGGGACATGACGAGCGTGGGGAGTCGGTGGTGACATTGACCTGCCGCCACAATGTGCGAGAGGGGAAAGGCCAGACTGATTCCTTTGGTCTCCACCTCGATCCTGTTAGCTGGGCTCCACGGGGGGGTATCCAAGAAGGGGTGTTGGGTCACTGGACCGTAGTTCTAAACAGCCTCTGGGCAGCCACCCCGAAACCGTTTTTATTCTGTCAGGCTTACTAAGATGTCAGCGGCAACCGTGGCCGGGATCTCTGGGTTTCTGACATGCGGGCAGTAATTCCTTCTCCTGGAAGTTCCCTCCACTGGGGTGTGGGGGGGGGGCATCCTTTCCCCTCTTGACTCCCCCACAGTCTCCAGCATATATCATCTGAGGGGGTAGTCTTGGCCCACCGCTAGGCGGTTCCACATCCTTCCTTTACTTTCTACAACGCCCTGTGAGGTGAGTCTTGTCACCATTTACTGTCAAGGAATCCGAGGCCCAAGCATTCTGTGTTTTGTTCCGAGAGCTTAGAGCTGTTTCGACGGCAGAGCTGCCTGACCGTATCTTTCTGCCCCGGTGACACCTTTCCCTTTTTGGCTTCTTGTCATTTTGCTGTCACAGGGATGCATGGGAGGGGCTTTGCAAAAGACGGTCAAGGTGAGAACCTGTGTCATGAGGGCTTGCCTGCCCTGGTGCCTGTGGATTTCTGGGTCGGGGTGATGGCTTGCCGATTCAGCCTCGCTGGGGTCAGGGGAGAGAGCTGTGTCTTCGGAAAGGGGTGGGACAGGTGGCATCTGATGACCCCATCTGTCTCTGCAGAAGGAACCCAGCGAAGTGCCAACACCGAAGAGACCTCGGGGCCGACCAAAGGGGAGCAAAAACAAGGGTGCTGCCAAGACCCGGGTGAGGACAAAGGGGGGAAGGGGGAGGCCCCCCTCCCCAGGGCCACAGCTGGGGGGCTCACTGGGGGGGACCAGACCCCGCCCCCTCTTCCCTGGCATATGGGCATCGTTGAGTCTCTGCAAATTGGGGGAAGCAGGGTGATTGGGTCTTCCTTCTGGGGACTTGGTCCTGCCCAGGACAAAGGGGAAGTCAGGTCAGAAGTCCTGCGGCTGCGGCTTCCTTGTCTGTAGAAGGAACAGCTGCACCAGTCCCTGGGCCGAGAGTGGTTCCTTCCATTCCGGGGTTCCCAGGGTCCCAAGGGAGCGGGGATAAGCAGGGAAGGCCGGATTCACAGGGGCATCAGCCTCTTGGGGAAGTTGTTTTGTTTTTTATTTTATTTTTTCTGAGACACGACTCATATCCTCTGAGTCATGGGTGGAGGAGGGAGTGGGGGGCGTGTGTGTGTATTGGGGGGGGGCAGCGTGGCTGGCCAGTCATCACCAGCTGGACTCGGGTGGGCCTGCCGGGGTGACAGTCCTGGCTGCCCTGAGCAGCGGTAGGTAGTTCCGCCCCTCCCAGCTCTCCCTCACCGTCGGGGCCCTGGCCATCGGGGGAGTGCCGTCCAGGACAGTTTTGACTTAGTGGCTCTTTTCTCGGACCATCTAGAAAACCACCACAACTCCAGGGAGGAAACCAAGGGGCAGACCCAAAAAACTGGTAGGCCAAGGGGCGGCGGCAGTGGTTCGGTTTCTCTGGGGAGGGCGGGGAGGGTGGGTGATGCTGCTCCTGGGTGCTCACCGTGGAAAGGTAGTCACCTGAGCCAGGCACGCTAGGGCAGCCTCACTCAGCCAGGCCTAGGGAGGGAAAGGGATTCTGGGTCCTGGCACCCAGCCCAGGGCTGTTAAAGGGCTGTGGCCATAGAAGTAACGGGTCCCAGGTACAAACCAGCCTAGACCCCTGCCTTGCCCTGCCCTGCCCTGCCCTGGTGGGGGGCTGCCTCTCCTACAGACTCAACTGCTAGGGGGAACTTGGAGGCCATCTAGCCCCTCCCCACCCCCCACTAATAGAAATGAGGAAAGGATGCCACCTGGGCATAGGGTGACATTTGTCCTCACGTATCCATTTCGGAGTCCCCCCAAAAAGCTAGAAACGGAGGGAGGTGGGCGGAGTCAGGAGGCTGCCTGTGGGGCCTACGCTGGAGTTTAGGGCCACCCCAGCCTTGTTCCTCCTGGCTGTTTTCTACCCCAAACCTGCTCCCTGAACTCCCCGAGGCCTTCATTCCTCGAGCTGAGCCACCACCAGGGTGAGGAGGGGGGTCGGGGGTGCTGGCTGGGCCCCAGGAGTGAGTAACAGGAAACAAGTTGTTTTGGAGTCTGTGCCTGGCACGGGGGCTGCAGGCCCGTGCGGTGTCCCGACATTCCCGCCCAGTGAGTGAGCCCGGCGGCACACACTTCCCCTTCCTCCCCGCCCTGGCCTGGGGTCAGTCAGCGGCCCAGCTCCACAGCCCAGCAGCTGCCCCTGCGGGCCAAGGCCACCTGGTTCCCCTGCGCTTGCACCCAGCAGGGGGGGCTCGCGCACCCTGCAGCCACCCTTTCCCCGGCCCTCTCCCTGGCCACCTCTCCCTTCCCCTCCCACAGAAAGCCAGCTACTTCCTCACTTCCCGGGTCCGTGCTGCACCGAGCAGTGCGGGCCCCCCCCGCTGCACCCACCCTGGGCCCCAGGTCCAAGGGGGGCCGGCTCCGTGTGAGAGCAGTGCGTGTGTGGGTTTTTTCCCTCCCTTTAAATTCTTCCTTTTTTATGAATGAAACTGGGCCGTGGAGGTTGCTGAGTCACTCACACACTCAGCCCTGACTCATCTCCCTTCTGGAGAGCCAGGGAGCATGGAGAGGGGTGGGGGCAATCTTGGCCTGCACCCCTTCCCCCTGGTCCCCCGGGAGTGGAGGGGGGCAGGCCTGGCACTCCTGCTGACTGGCCTGCCCACCGCGCAGGAGAAGGAGGAAGAAGAGGGCATCTCGCAGGAGTCCTCCGAGGAGGAGCAGTGACCGCGCCGCGCCGCCCGCTCCTGCACCGAGGAGCAGTTTCCTTCTGGGACTGGACAGCTCCGCTCCGCTCCCACCGCCCCCGCCCCTTCCCCCAGGCCCACGCGTCACTGCCACCCACCTGCGCCCTCGCCACCACACTACACAGCACACCAGCCGCTGCGGGGCCCCGAGGCCCAAGTGGGCAATGGTTTCCTTTGGTCTCGGCTGCCAGCGACCCCTCCCCCACGCGCACACTTGCCCCTCCAGACAAAGCCGGTGTCTCACCTCGCCGCACCCTGCCCCTGCTGCGTCCCCATACTCGGCGGTGGGGACGTTGCTGACTGGGCTCTTGGTTTGGGGGTCCCTTATGCTTCCCCACTCCCCCCTCCGGCTTCCCGCCAAGGGGTCTGGGAGGGCTCCCCTGGCCTTAAAAGGGGCCCGGGCCCCGCCTCGTTCTGATCTGCCCCACTCCACTGCACTGGCAGCAGGTATGGCCTGCGGGGAGGGACACTGGGCCCCAGGTGCGGCTCACACCCGCCTTTCTTCCTTCCCACCCTGCCTAGTCCTTGCTCTGGGTCGGACAGCCCCGTCCGGGGCCCTGGAAGGCAGGCAGGAGGGGTCTGAGTCCCCTATCCTCCCCGGCTGGGCTCCAGCCCGCTCACCCCCACCCCGGAATCCATTGCAGTGGGGGCAGTTCGGTCACCCTTTATCCAGGAGGCCCGGGTTCCCTGTGGCAGTCACCTAAGGTGGGCTGGAGCCGCTGCCTGACCCCATCCGCTTCCGCCCTAGGCCTCAGTTTCCCCTTCCCTCACACGGGGCACTAATAACAAGGAGCTAGCCTTGCCCACTCCCACCCTTCTGCTCCTCCCCACCCCCCAAGGTTCTGGTTCCATCTTTCCTCTGTTCACAAACTACCTCTGGACAGTTGTGTTGTTTTTGTTCAATGTTTCCATTCTTAGACATCCGTCATTGCTGCTGCGACCAGCGCCAAATGTTCATCCTCATTGCCTCCTCCTGCTCTGCCCACACCCTCCTCCTCCAAGATGCTCTTAGGGGAAGGGGCCTGGGGCAGAGCAGGCTGGGTTACCGACCACCCCAGTCCCAGGGAAGGTGGGGCCCTGCCCCTAGGATGCTGCAGCAGAGTGAGGAGGGGGGGGGCCTGTATTGACCGGCAAGGGTGTAGGGGCCACCTTCTCCCCCTGTTCTGCCGGGGAGGAGGTAGCCATTATTTGTCCCAGCCTGGGGCCCCCCCATCTGGTTTCCTATTTGCAGTTACTTGAATAAAAAAAATATCCTTTTCTGGACTGGAGTCTTTTCTTTGGTGGTAGGTACCTGGGGTAGGAAGGCTGGAAACCAAACATCTAGTTGGTGGGGGGTGGCTTTCAAGGTGCTCTCCAGGCTGGGGGTGGGGGGAGGGCGGACAAGCCTTAGCTCTGGGGAAGGTAACTCCAGCCTCTCTTGAAGAAACCAGCCACACCCCTAGCCACAAAACATCTTTATTTACAAAATATATATACTGAATACTATACATTAAGCCCTGTCACCATGGAAACCAATCCAAAGCCAAGCTGGGGAGGGCTCGGAGGAGGGTGGTGCCCACGAAACCCTCCCACCACCCTTCCACCCCAGAAGGAAAAACCTGTATTAGCCCCGTGGGTGTGGATGGTAGGCTCAGCCCACAAAGCACTGAAGGCCTGGGGGGAGGTGCTACTGGGGACGGATGGGAGGAAAGGAGCCCTGGTACCCAGCAGGGGGAGCTGGGTGAGTACACGTGGGGAGGGAAGCAACGGGCCCCGGGCACTGCCAAGACCCCATGGTTCTGGAGATCGGGGTGGGGGGCGGGGGTGGGCGGGGGCGGGGCAGGTTAGGTCTTGACATCAAGCAAGGGCATCCGCTTGTGCTGGTAGCCGCTCTGCCAGCCATGTACCACCTGTGAGGGAACAGCACATGCCACCACACAACCTTGGAGCCCCACCCCCACCCCCGGCGGTGGCCCCAAGTCGGGGACAGCTGAGGGCAGAAGCGGGCTCCTGTTTCGGGGGAGCCTGGAGGAGAAGACCGCGGACAGACCGCTGCTGATTCCTCTAGCCCCGAGTGCTCACCTTGGGGTCTCCCACATCGGACAGCAGCTCCTGCTCAGCCTCATGCAGTTCCTCGGCGGGGTCGTAGCTGTACATGGGGAGCAGGTGATGGCGAAGCCGGTCCACTCTGGGGAGCAGGGGAGGGGGCTCAGCCCAGGGGGGTGCCCACTCCCTTCAAACCCCTGACTGTCCAAGGCCGGGGCACTTGCAAGGGGGTACCATTAGGGGCACACAAGGGCTCTAAGGATGCAGGCGCGATGCTACAAGGGGCCCCTCTCCGGTGGGAAAGCCGCATGTGGGCAGGAAAACCTGCCAGTGGGGTGTAGGAGATTTCAGACTTGTATAACCGTTGCCCAGGGGCATCTTAACATGGATGTACAGAACCCAGATCCCAAGGGACAAAACTGACGCAGAAGGCAGGGCAGGTAACACGGGGCAGGGACACTCACCGCTTTTTCTTCTGGACATACATTACCTGTAACAGAGACACAGCACTGTGGAGGCTGCAGAGCGAGCCCAGGATGGCCCACAAGTGAGAGAGACCCACCTCTACCCCTCCACTCCCCAAACGGCTGGACAGCTGAGAAGGTGTGTGCGGGCTGGATTGGGCCCACCCAGTGCGGTGAGTGCATGCGGGGGCTCCTTACCACAGCCACCACCACCCCGACCAGGGTGATGAGGAAGAAAGGCCCCAACACATAGCCCACCATGGAGTCGCTGTTGGCCTGAGGGACATAGGGCACTGTAGTGTTACTCATGACATCGGCAGCCGGAGGGCTGGGTGGTCAGCATGGGCAGTAGTGCCTCGGGAGGGCGCCTCCACTGGGCTCCCTGGGGAGGAGGAAGGGAGGTTATCAATTTCAAGCTCTGGATCCCTTCCCGAGAGCTGTGAGGTATCACAACTTAGGGCAGGCCCTGGGGGACAAAGGATCGTCAGGCCAATGTGCTGGGTTTAACCCTCCAGTGACTCTCGGCAAACCCTGGGTTTGGAGGGCACCCAGGGGAGGTCCAGAGTCCTACTCAGCTCCTACTCCCAGATCAGGGTGTGGCCCAGCTCAGGTGCTGGCCAAACATTTGCACATCTCGACTGGGCAAAGCTTCGACACAGGCTCCCAGCTCCTGCTCGCACCTCCTGGGACGCTGGGCTGCCAGCATCTATCCAGTGGAGCACAAAGGGGAGATCTGGCGAAAATATGAGGGTCCTGCACTGCGGCCCGGGGGTGAGGGAGGAGCATTTGAAGGAGGCAGCCTCAGTCCTGGTCCAATCCCCACCTTTTAGGCTACAGGCCCTCCCCAGGCCCTCCCTGTCCCCGGTGTTTCTGCACACACACAGCCTGGAGAGCCTCTCTCCACACTGGTCTCATGTGCCAGGGTGGACACAAGTGGGCAGGGCTGGATTGTATCTGCGAGGTGATGTCACCTCCCTCTGGTTCCCACCCAGGGCTCCGCCCAGGTCCCTCCCCTCTTAGCGGGGGCTGACAAGCGGGAGGTGACAGGGTCAGCTCCCATCAACAGATGCAAGGAGACTGTCCATGGGCTCCTGCACGCAGACCCCAACGTCCCTAACCCCGCTTCGCCTGGTCTCCATCGGAGGGCAAGGTATGAACTACTTGTCCCGGTGTCCGTCAGGGCACCAAGCTTGCCCAGTCGCAGGCACACCGTCCCACGGTCGAGGGGACATGGCCGAGGTGGGGCGAGTGACAGGCCGCTCCTAGGATGCGGACCAGCATAGGCGAGTGGGAGGTAGTCCCCGCTGCGCTGGGCGGCTCAGGCCGGAGGAGGGAGGGAGGTGTGGGGAGCGGCGCGCAGAGGGGCCCGGGAATCCCAGAATCCCTGCACTCCGAGGCGCGGGCCCGTCCGGGCGCTCTGCAGCCCATCCAACCCGTTCGTGCCTTACCTCCCGCCGCTGTAGCCCGGACAGGAACGCCCTCGGTTGGCTCTCAGGCCCCGGAAGAGCCGGCAGGCGCGTGATCAAAGGACCCGGGGAAATGGGCGGGGCCTCAGTACAGGGGCGCAGCCAATCCAGTGGCCGAAGGCGGACGGCCCGGAGACCGCTGGAGCGGCCAATCCCGAGGTGGGGGGTGCGCGGTGCGAAGGCGGGGACGGCCCAGGTTGCAGAGTCCACCCCACGGCAGCAGGGGGCAGCCGAGCGCTGCGCAGAAGGGGGGAGGAGAGTGAGCGGGGAGGGGCGGGGCCGGGGCTGCTTCCCGGCGTCCCCCGGGGCGGGACACCCGCGGAGCGCCGCGCCGGGGAGCTCAGGTGACTGGGAAAGGTGTGGCGTCCGGCTGGCTCATCCTTCTGGGTGGAGTTCAGGTGTAGGGCCGAGCCACGCCCTAACGTTTGGCCGAGGCGTGCGGCGACTTCTCTTCCCCGCCGGACCCTGCCCCGGGCCCACCGGGACTCCATTAATGTTCATTTCGCCTTCCAAGCCTCCTAGTTCCTAGTGGTCCCCTGGGCCGGGTTCAGAGAATAGATAGAGTGACAGCCCCGGGTTAGGTCCTGCCCGGCCGTGGGACCTGGGCCCACTTACCCATCCACCCGTCTCTGCGCCTCAGTCTTAACGTCCGTAAAACAGGCTGAGGTGCAGATTAAGCGAGGAATTCCGTGCCCTGTTAAAAGCCCCGTTAACCTTTTTGTGGGTTTCAGGGGCACAGGTGGAGCTGGGCGGTGCGGTTCCCCCGGGGCACAAGCAATTTGCGAAACAGGTAAATTTGAAAGCTTTCGTGGTCTGTTAGTTGAAATGCCACACATTGGACAAACGTGAATAAGGTGGATAGATTTTACCAATGTCAGTATCCTGGCTGTGACATTCCACTATCGTTTTGCAAGAGTTTGCATTGGCGGGAGCTTGGCAAAGCTATGAGGGGTCTCAGTTTCTTACAACTGCATGTGAATCTGCAATGACCTCAGGTAGCTGTGTGTAGTTTTGAACCAGACTCCTCAGCCCCAATCACACATGATTCGGAAAACTCGAGACGGGCACGTGATGGAAGCCAGCCAAGAATGCAAGAGTTGTGGGAGCTGAACCAGGAGGAGGCCCTCTAGGGTCCTTGGGTGCTGCTGGAGTTCTACGGATAAACGGAACCGGCTTATTCTTGCCAGAGATGGCCAGTGGCATGGACGTGGTTGAGCCACTTGGTCTGGTCTGGCCTGTTTCCTCCGGCCCTTCCAGAGGAGGTTGGATCAGGGCAGGTCCATGCAGAGATGACCCAACCCAGAACCAGATGACAGTTGAGAACTCTGGCCTCTTGCCTTCAGACAGCATCGTCTGACTGGTGGGAAATCAGAGATGAACGGAAAGGAGTGACAGAAATGCCCAGGTACGGAAGGCTCCGGGCGGACTCCTTGGGGTTTCTCAGGCTTTTGAGTCTGAAGAGGAAGGAGACCACCCATCCCAGGCTTCCACTGGAGCTGAGGGCAGACGGAGGCGGCCACCTCCCCCGGGGCAGGCTTGCCTACTATGGATATATTTTTAATGTTTATTTATTTTAAGAGAGCTGCACCTGCTGCATGCAAGCAGGGGAGGGGCAGAGAGAAAGGGAGAGAGAGGATCCCAAGCAGGCTCCGTGCAGTCAGTGCAGAGCCCGACATGGGGCTCAGTCCCACGAACTGTGAGATCACGACCTGAGCCAAAATCAAGAGTCCGAGGCTTAACCGCCTGAGCCACCCAGGCGCCCGTGGGCTCGCCTCCTCTTGCAAGGTTAGGATCAAGTAATGGGGTTTAGAACCCAGACCCCTTTGGCTGCTCACATACCCAACTTTTGCCCTCATCCTCACAGCTTCTGACTTGAGGGTCTTCCAGGGGTGGGCTTAGCGGTCAGCTGGCTAAGCCAGGATGTAGGGTCTCGGTGTCAGAAGCTCTGCACGCTTCCCTTACTGCCAGGGGACAACACCATTCTGAGCTACACAGGGCAGGTGGAGCGACCCCAATTTACAAACAAGGAAGCTGAAACCCTGTGCAGTGTGGTGACTTCCCAAGGCCCCTGGTGTGATCAGCAAGGGTGAAGCAGCATGGAATGACAGGTGGGCCCCTCTTCCCGGGTAGCTTTGTAACAGCAGCTTCTCCACGTCTGTATTTGAGGCCTGATTTGTTCCAGTGATAAGGCTCTAGATCCCGTGCGGGTACCCCCAAGCCTAGCCAGGGAATACTCCAGGCCTCTCTGCCCTCTTCATGCTGCTGCTACCTCAGGAAGAGGAAAGAGAGGGCAGGGCTGAGGCTGCACTGTGCCACCCTGGTCAGGTTTTGACTGTGCCCTTACCCGTGTCACTACGGTGAGTGCCTGGGCTTATGTATCCATTCCCACGAATGCCTTGCTCATCCTTGTGTCCGCCTACTCTGGACCCACCTCACAAGTCATAAAAGCAACCTTTGAAAAGAGCAAGCTGTTGACAGGTAACATCAATTCATTCCAGAACAAAACTCAAAGAAGATTTATAGGGCTGCAAAACTACCCAGCCCCCAAGAAGGTAACATTCATACTGTGTGGCATCCAGTTAAAAAATGGATCCAGGGGGACATGGGTGGCTCAGTCTGTTAAGCATCCGACTTCAGCTCAGGTCATGATCTCGTAGTTCGTGAGTTCAAGCCCCATGGCGGGCTCTCTGCTGTCAGCACAGAGCCTGCTTCAGATCCTCTGTCCCAATGCTCTCTGCCCCTCCCTGTGCGTGTGCTCTCTCTCTCTCAAAACTAAGTAAATATTTTTTAAAATTGGATTCATAAAGGGGGGCCTGAGTGGCTCAGTTGGTTAAGAGTCCAACTCTTCGTTTTGGCTCAGGTCATGATCTCATGGTTTTGTGGGTTCAAGCCCCGTTTGGGATTCTCTCTCTCCCTCTTTCTCTGCCCCTCCCCCAGTGTCTTTGTCTCTCTCAAAATAAATAAACTTCAATAAATGAATGAATAAAAATGGATCCATAAATACTTAGACATGCAAAGAGGCAGGAAAACACAATTTATAATCAATTGAAACTGACCCAGAACTGACAGATGTTAGACCTAAGGAGGACATTATAACAGTTATAACTGGGGGCGCCTGGGTGGCTCAGTCACTTAAGCATCCGACTTTGGCTCAGGTCACAATCTCATGGTTTGTGAGTTCGAGCCCCACATCGGGGTGTGTGCTGACAGCTCAGAGCCTGGAGCTGCTTCAGATTCTGTGTCTCCTTCTTTCTGTGGCCCTCCTGCACTCACACTTTCCGTCTCTCAAAAGTAAGTAAACATTAAAAATTTAAAAATAAAAATAAAACCGTTGTAATTGTATTCTTTATGCTCAAAAAGTTAAGGACAGGCAAGGAAGATATAAAAAAGAGCCCCAGACTGAGTCTGTAGACATGAGGACTGCAATGTCCAAGACGAAATATACAGTAGATAAGATTAATAGCAGCTTAGATACTGCAGAAGAAAGGGTAAATAACTTGAAGGCATTAGAATAGAAATTATCCAAAATGAAACAGAAGAAGGAATCTAGAAAAAAAATACAAGCGGGGCGCCTGGGTGGCTTAGTCGGTTAAGCATCCGACTTTCGCTTAGGTCATGATCTCGCGGTTCGTGGGTTCAAGCCCCGCGTCGGGCTCTGTGCTGACTGCCGGCTCAGAGTCTGGAGCCTGTTTCAGTCTGTCACTCCCTCTCTCTCTGACCCTCCCCTGCTCACGCTGTCTCTCTCTCTCTCCTAGAAATAAATAAAAACATTAAAAAAAAATACAAGGGCATTAGGGAATTGTGGACAATTTCAAGTGGTCTAATATATGGGTGATTAGAGGCCCAGAAGAAGAGAAAAAGAGGGGACAAAAATATTTGAAGAAAGAATGACTAAATGCTTTTGAAACTTAATGAAGACTATAAACTTACAGACCCAGGAAGCACAGTAAACCCCAAGCACAAGAAACATGAAGGAAACTATACAAAGGCACATTATAATCAAATTGCTCAAAATCAGTAACAGAGATAATCTTTAAAAAAAGTTTTTGTAATGTTTATTTCTGAGAGAGAGAGAGAGAGAGACAGCGTGAGCAGGGGAGGGTCAGAGAGAGAGGGAGACACAGAATCTGAAACAGGCTCCAGGCTCTGAGCTAGCTGCCAGCACAGAGCCCGTTGCGGGGCTCGAACCCATGAACCGTGAGATCATGACCTGAGCTGAAGTTGGACGCTTAACTGACTGAGCCACCCAGGTGCTCCCACAAAGAGATAATCTTAAAAGATACACAGAGAGGAACAAAGAATGGTTAGCTTTTTACCCAAAACAATCCATGGGAGAAGACAGTGAAGCAGTATCTAAAGTATTGAGTGAAAACCTCCCAAGGAGGAACATTAGGCAAAAATATCTTTCAAAAACACAATAGCCAAATTGTGGAAGCAGCCCAGATGCCCACTGATAGATGAATGGATAAAGATGTGGTATAAATATACAATGGAATATTATTTCGCCATAAAAAGGATGAAATCTTGCCATTGGCAACGGCGTGGGTGGAATTACAGAGGATGATGCTAAGCAAAATAAGTCAGAGAAAGACAAATATATGATTTCACTCGTGTGGAATTTAAGAAACAAAACACATGAGTAAAAGAAAAAAGAGAGACAAGCCAAGAAACATACTCATAACTATAGAGAACAGTTTGATGGTTTCCATGGGGGAGGTGGGTGGGGGATGGGGGAAACAGGTGATGGGGGTGAAGGAGGCACCTGCCGTGATGAGCACTGGGTGCTGTATGGAAGTGTTGAATCACTATCTTGTACACCTGGAACTGGTATAGCATTGTATAGTCACCATACAGGAATTGAAATAAAAAATAAAAATCATCTTTCAACAACAAAAGTGAGGGGCGCCTGGCTCAGTCGGTTAAGCACCCAACTCTTGATTTTGGCTAAGGTCATGATCTCATCTTTTGTTGGGCTCTGCACTGACAGCACAGAGCTTGCTTGGAATTCTCTCTCTCTCTCTCTCTCTCTCTCTGCCCCTCCCCACTCTCAAATTAAATAAATAAAGATTAAAAAACAAAGG